AAAACTTGCTCTTTCCGTCGCCATCCCTCTCCCAACCCCTCGGCCCTTCCACCACCCAACAAACTTCTTTACCAGTGAAGCTTGGTGGTTTGGGTTTCGGTGCCTTTAAACAACGAAATGAAGCCTGGCTGATTAAATGGCTGTGGAGGTTTATGAACGAGGAGGAGGCCCTCTGTAGGAGGGTGATTGACAGTATCTATGGGATTGACACAAGGGGGTGGTTGTCTCTTGATCCTATTGGAAGAGCCAGGGGAACACCGTGGCATGATATTGCAAAGTTGAGTACTTTCTTTCAGAAATTTCTGCATTTCAAAGCCGCCAAGGGGGACCGTATTCGGTTCTGGTTGGATTGTGGGATTGAAGAAAGCTCTTTGGTGCATGTGTTTCCAGACCTTTATGCAGTCTCTTCAAAACAACAGGCAACCTTAGACTACTGCTGGAATTCAAAACAAAATGGCTGGGATTTGGGCTTTAGAAGAGGCCTTTTTGACAGGGAACTAACCTCATGGGATAATCTTGTACAGATTTTGGATCCTGTGCTGTTAGGAGAGGGGAGGGATAGTGTGGTCTGGACTTTGGAGAAAGATGGGCGGTTTTCTACAAAATAATCCTTCTTAAAAATGATGGAGACTATTCCAAAGATCCCCGGGTACTTTGATTGAGGGAGTTTGGAAGAGTACCGGCCCTAAGAAAATAAAGTTGTTTTTTTGGTCTCTTGCTAATAGAGCTTTGAATACTCATGAGCGGCTTCAAAAAAGATGCCCAGGGTGGATTCTCTCACCATCTTTTTGTTGCCTTTGTTCGGTCAGCGGTGAAACAGTAGACCATATTTTTTTGCATTGTCATTTCACTAAAAGGGGGTGGCAGAAACTGTTAGATTTTTTCTCCATATCCACGTGCTTTCCTAGAAGGATTGATGAGTGGTTGATAGAGTGTTTCCAAGGGTGGAGACTCAAAGACAAATGCAAAGAGTTATGGGATTGTGCTTCGGAGCCTTGCTTTGACAATTATGGTTAGAAAGGAATAGTCACTCTTTTGAAGACAAGGCAAAATCGTTTGATTCTTTTTGTGATAGTGTGCCTATTACAGCCTCTTGGTGGTGCTATAGGAACAGAAAATTCTTTTGTAATCTCTCTCAAATCATTCAAGATTGGAGCTCTTCTTTTTTAGTGTTTTGGAGAGGGACTCCTTGTCCCTTGTCCTTAGGCTGTTTTTTTGGTGTTCCTTTTAATGAAAGTGTTTGTCTTTTATCCCAAAAAAAAACATGGACATCCCTCCTCCTAACCTCCCTCTCCTTTCCCTCTCTGGCACCCTCTACACAAACCACCCATTACCATCATGAGTGACTGGAACTATTCTGCTCGAAAAGTTATAGAAAGGAAAACCTTCTCCATCAAGGTCAATGAATATTTCAGGGGATGCTGTGGCCGTTTGTCTGAGATTGGCAGGGACTTAACTTTCTCTCCCTAACTTGGGCCTCCATCTCGTGGCTTTCTGCCACCTTCAATTTGTTGTTAGGCTCTCCTCTCGCCCACAAGTTCTTCAAAGAAAACCATAGTGGTGACTATGTTCTTTGGCCGGAGAAGCTTAACAACAAAAGAGGCTATTGGATTGAAATCAACAAGCTTGATAACAATGGGGAAAGAACAGATTGGGAATTGGAAAGGAAGGTTGGAAAGCTTTTTACAATCTTATCCTTGATTTTCCACTGATAAATAGAACACATGGGCACCCTAAGCTCAAATCCAGACTGTCTCGGAAGCCATAGACCTCAAACCCCCACCTCAAACCCCCACCAAAAACAGACCTTTCTACCTCTCAATGAGCCACCGAATCCCCACCAAAAACTTATCAATACTGATAAGGAGACAAAATACACTCTATCCTTCGGATCATACAAGAATCCGTTAGTGATTTCTGTTCCTTAAGTCCTATACATGCCGACAAAGCCCTCCTTAGATGCGTAGACGGTTTGCAGGTGATTACTCTTAACAAACAAACAGGCAAACCATTGGATCCTACAAACCATGTTTCTTCCATTGGAGCACTAAGAACATAAACTCCGATAGCAAGGTCTCTTTCTATGGGGGATGGATTATCATTTAAGATCTTCCTTTCCATCCGTGGAATGATAATGTCGTACCCTATATAGGGAATAAATGTTAAGGTTATGTGGAAACCTCCATGGTATTGTCCAGTTTCAGGGATCGTATGGAATTAAAAATAAAGGTCAAAGAAAATGATATAGGCTATGATCGAGCTTCCTTCATCCATTATGAATGAAGAAGCCCTCATGATACACATCGACCTGAGTATCACCCATGAAGCCCCCGATGAAACTGCCAAATGGCAGTAGTGTACTTCCTCACAAGACAGTTTCTAGAATCATTAAGGTATTGCATGAAACAGCCAAATGGCAGTATTCTTCTTCCCACAAATCTTCCCATATATACCAGTGATTTAATCATATGTTTAATGGTTAATCTTTAATCAAACCACACTTTATATTGTGTTAAAAAGACCTATCTTTATATATCTACTTCTTCTAAATTAGATAAGTTATTTTTTAAAAAATATTAAATAGTTTTGTATTATGTTTATGCTTTTTGGATGGAGTATTTATTTTTTCTTTTTATATTTCTTAAATATTATTTKTATGGTTAATTTATTTAGAAGTATTATTATGTCAATATATACACATATATTATTTAAAAAAAAAAAAAGAAAACGTGTCCCTGACGTGTCCGTGTCCTAGAAATTGGTGTGTCGCCATGTCTGTATCATGTCGTGTTCGTTTCCCAATCCGTGCCCGTCCTTCCTAACCTATCTCTCTACAAACTCTCAAGGCCAGCTACTGAAAAGATGGGAAAAATCTTTAGGGATTTCCTACGGGAAGGATTGAGTACAAATGGGAAGCAACAACACATCAATTGGAAACACGTACAGCTCCCCATAGATGAAGGAGGACTTGGAATTGGATCCCCATTGATGAAGGGGGACTTGGAATTGGAAATATCAAGAATAGCAATCGTGCTTTGCTTTCCAACTGGTTTTGGCGCTACATAACAGAAAAAACCAACTTTGGAGGAAATTCATATCGGCTAAATACATGGGAACATCCTCTGAAACATGGCCAACCACTTGCTTCTGCTCGTACGATGGCCTATGGACTGCAATCCTCCAACAAACACACATCATCAAGGATAATGCTCAATGCTAGGTGAGAGATAGGAGCCAAAACATCTTCTGGAATGATAGATGGCTAATACTGGGACATTGGTCCTCCTTTTCCCGTGACTATATGCCATTACTATGAATAAGGAGGCCAAAATAGCTGATCTTTGGTCCAAATCTACAATCTTTTAGGAATACAGCTTCCGCAACCTTTAAAGGAGGAGGAGTTTGAAGATTAGATGCGTCTTTCACACATATTAAGCGAGTATGTCCCTCCCCCTCTCGATGATAAATAGTTATGGCCAGTTGATGCCAAAAGAAACATTTCCACAAAATCTGTTTTCAACCTTCCGACTTCCATCAAGAGATGTCCCTCCTGCACCCTCTATTCGAGCCTTTGGCAAGGCAAGTATCCCAAGAAGATCAAGTTCTTTTGTTAGGAGCTCAGTCATGGAGCAATTAACACACAAGACAGGTTCCAAAAAAAGCTGCCCCACTTAGCCCTCTCCCCCAACTGCTGCCACCCTTGTTCCAGGGTCTTGCTGCCACCCTTGTTCCAGGGTCTTGGAAACACAGGGAAACCAATTGTGGATTTGCATCACGGTTTTGGAAAAGAATCCTCACAGCTTTTGGGTGGAAAACTGCCTTGCAAACCATCTTACAACTTTCCTTAACAGTCTCATGGTTGGTCGTCCTTTCAAAAAAGAAAGAGCAACACTCTAGGTTCATTTCATTAGGACTTTTCTTTCTTTGGAGTTTATGGTGGGAGAGGAACAATAGGGTCTTCAATGATAAATCCCTTCCTTTTGAACCCTTTTGTTGATAGAGTTATTGTTCTAGCTCTTGGTTGATGTAAATGCTCCTATTCCCTTTTCATTAGCTACAATTTAAAGGATACTTTTAGTCCTTAATGTTTGAAGAATGGTTCAAAATGGTCCTCAATTAGTTTGGCCATTTTTAGACTAATAGAAAAATGATGTGGCAAAATGAGGTGAGAAAATTGAAATGAACCGACAATTTTGTGTATAGAAACCCCAAAATTTAAATGCCTTGAAATTACAAATTAAAACTTGAAAAAGAAGATGGTCGCTATTTTAACCACATCAATTTCATTGAAAAATCGATTTTTGTCCCTGAAATTCGGGAGGAACCCGTAAGCTAATTAGCACAATCGACTGCATTTCCTTGCTCTATACTCTCCTAGATTGTGGAATGAGACCAAATTTTGGGATGAAAGCTTTAGCCGAAGCTTCAAGCCGTGAAATAAGTTTTGGGTTTCATAGTGGCCGAAGAAGGTTATGGCAAGTGGAAATGGCGGAGAACGTGAAAGTTGCAAATACATAATTTTTAACTTTCTTAAGTTCTCTACCTAGCAGTCTAGTTGGGGAAAAGAGTTTGTGGTTGGTAAAGGTTGGAGAACAGAGAGAAAAAACTAAAAATCCCGTTGGAGAGGATGAAGAGGAAGAGAAAGAGAAAGAAGGGGAAGGAGGGAGAGGAGAGGAAAAATTATAAAATAAAAAAGACATGTAATCTAAAAAAAGAATATAAAATTATTAAAAATTGCCAACTCATTTATAATTTCTCACCTTACATTGCCACATCATTTTTCTGTTAGTCAACTAATGGTCAAACTAAACAAGGGACTGTTTCAACCATTTTCAAACATTAAAGACTAAAAGTATCACTTTGACCAAATAGACACTTGGCTCAAACCTTAGGGATCAAAAGCGTATTTTGCCCCAAAAAATTATCATCTCTGAGGTCTTATATTTTGCAATTGATTATTATTAGTCAAGATGTGTACTTGTCAAGAGTGTCGGATAAATTTCGTTTTATCAAAATTGGAAGAGTGCCTGATAAATTTATATGTATTAAAATAGGATTAAAGGAGTCATAATTGCTATATTGTTGAATTGAATCGTTATTGCATTAATGTGAGTTGACCATATGGTGATTATGGTGTGCGGACAAGGATGTTCAATTCTTATTGTTGGTCTTCTGTCCTAAGGAATTCTGTTCCTGCATTTTTTGAATGATCTAGCCACATAATGGTACATATACGTGCAAGTTGATCTTATATGGTCTTTACCATAGTTGCATTGGGCTTCTCTGGTGGGGTGTGAGGTCCGAGTTTTTTCGTCTTCTTACCTTAGGCTCTCTTTAAGCCATAATTTAGAGAGTTTGGTTTTTTTTAACTTCGGTTGCAGAAAAGCTTAAAGGCGTCTTTCTTCTCGAAAAAGAGCTTTTTTCTCTAAAGGAGGGAGACTCCCTTTTATTCAAGATGTGTTTAGGGATCTCAAATTACTTCTTGTCCTTGTTTAAAATCCCGATATTCGTTTGTAGATGTTTGGATAAAATCACGAGGGGGTTTTTCTGCGGGAGGGATGAGGAGGGGGAGGATCTCATTTCTTAACTGGTACATTGTTTCGAAGCTGTTGGAGGCGGCAGGGGTTGGGAGTTGGGAATATGAGTTTTAGAAACCAGGCCTTGTTAGCTAAATGGTTGTTGTGTTTTTTCCAAGAACCTAATGCCCTGGCATAGGATTATCTAGAGTAAATATGAGTTGTGTCCTTTTAATTTTGGTTCGAGTGGTCGTTAGATTTTTGGTAAATGCCCTTGGAAGGCTATATCCCCTGTCTTTCCCTTTTTCTCTCAATTTGTGTCCTGCTCTATTGGAGAAGGTTATGAAACCTATTTTTGGGAGGATTGTTGAGTGGGTGACAGGGTGTCTCTTATTCCCTTGCTTATACCACCTTTCGAGGATGAGGTTGCATTTGGTGGCCTCAATGCTCTGGGTCACGAGGGAATTCTCCATCTATTTCCTTGGGTCTTTGCTGGGTCACATGGGAACTCTCCATCTATTTATTTCATCTACGGCGTGTTTCATTGTCCCCCCACTAACGCCTTGCTTTTCTTCTCCCTCTAGAAAGTTAAAATTTTGAAGAAGATCAAGTTCTTTGCCTTTGCCTAACAGATTTTGTATGGGAAAGTCAATACCATGGACCGTATTAAGAGACATTCTTCTTTGTTGTTGGATTTGCAGTGATGTGTCCTTTGCAAGGCGTTAGTTTTCCTAGCATATTTGGAGTTGGTTCTTGGAGTTTTTCGGGATTGTAGGGTAATGTCGGAAGAAGTGTTGTTGTTCATGCCTTTCTGGGACAGAGGGATCCGTATGGCTGGTTTGTTTTTTAACCATTTTGTGGGGTGTGGATTAAGAGGAATTGCAGAATTTTTAGGAGAGTCGAGAGGTCTTGGGTGAAATTTGGGGCTGGTTAGATTTAGTGCCTCTCTTTAGCTATTGGTGTTTAAGACGTTTAGTAATTACTAGTTTGGTGTTGTTCTTTTGGATTAGGATCTGTTCTTATAGGTGGTTTCCCTTTTATCGGGCTTATCTTTTGTAATCCCCTCATATATTCTCTCATTTCTTTTCGATGAAAGCATGGTTTCTTATCAAATAATAAAACCATAGTTCAATGTCTAACTATGTTTTCAAATTGGAAGATAACATTTTAAGAAGACAAGTTTCTTTCTTAACTGCTCTTAAGGTGAGAAGCGAGAAGGTATCAACTTAGTGAAGTGAGTACGTAAGTCGTAAACAAATAAAATTATGTATAGAAGTAATTTTTTTAAGAAGAAAATCATGGTCATTTAATGTCGAAACATGAAACATGAATATTTAATACATGAAAAGAAGTAGAAATATACAATGTGAATGTCCATAGTCTCGTAGCTCAAAACTAACATAAAGATATTTGCTTCCCTTTGCTCTATCATCTTTCCCCTTTGAAATTTGTGTTGGGTCTCATTCCTTGTGCGGGAGATTGTACCTGATGAAACATTAATTTTTAGTGCCCGTTGTCCAGTAGGGAAGCCTATGATGTTTCGCTGTTACTCTCTTTGCTGGTCTTGTTTATTCGTATTGGGAACGGGGATGTCCATTTGATAACTCTCAACCCTTTGGAGAGGTTTTCTTGTATATCATTTTTCTCTCTTTTGTGTGATTAGTTTTCATCCTTGTGAAGGCTGGAATAATTGAGAAGGTCAAATTTTTGACCTAGCATGTCCTTCATGGGAATGTCAATTCCATTATTGCATACTCTTGCTTTTGAGTTCGGAACATGTTTTGTGTGATTGCTAGTTTGCATACTCTTTATTGAGATTTTTGGCTTGGAGTTGGCTCATAATAGGTTGTCATTTGATGTTATAGTGGTCTCTCTCATCTACCATTTTGAAAGGCTCTTTAGTGTGCAACTTTCCTTGCTACTCTCTAGAATATTTGGCTTGGGAGGAATAGGATACTTTCAGAGGTATTGTAAGTCTTTGGAGAGGTGTGCGCTTTGGTTAGATTTAATGTCTTTCTCTAAGTAGTTCTGTCACTATCCTTTGTCTTTTTGTCTCTTATCACTAATAATGTGAATATTTTTTGTCTATAGTTTGTTTACTTTGTACAGTTCTTTTTGTAGTGGGCTTTACTCTTTTGTATTACTTGTATCGCTTCGTTTGTCTTAATGAAAATTTGATTTCTCTCTTTTTGTTTCACTCGTCTGTTTAATTCAGATTTTCTTTCAAAAATCAGTAATAACTTTCTTCTTCTTCTTCTTCTTCTTATTGTTTGTAGTGGACATGAAGTCTTCTCAAAATTATGTAGATGAAGAACTATGATTAGATTTGGTCCTTTCTGAGGTCTAAATTATATCCCTTTGCCATGTAATGATGGATGAAGGGTTGCATGTTGCAGCGGAATGCTGTTCAGGGCACAGTGTTATGCCCCAAATCGCCCAACTAAAGTTGGTTGAGGTAATTCATTTGTTTTTATGTATGCACCATTCTTCGTACTCAAGTGTTGGTTTAAAATATGAACGTGGATACATACATCGCATCTTAATACATGTTGGACCACCAAAGAAAATGAATTGAGTGAAAAGAATATTGTTCTTGTTTACGAACTTATATTTTATCTTTTTGTATTATTATTTTATTTTGTTCTCTTTCTGATTGGTTTGTCTATATGAGGTGGGTTAAATCTTTGTGGGTCCTATGGTTTCCGAGATAGATGACATATGGTAGCATTGTTATCTTTATCATACGTTGCCCGATAACTTGTCTCGTCATATTCTATTGCATAATTGTGTGAGTCGTCTATGGTTGTACATAGGTCAGTTGGGTCGGTTTTGAAGCCCAAACTGATGCTGGCCGACACACGGTCAGTTTCCATTCCGACCCCTTTCCACTGACTGACTGTCCAGAAATGGAAATCAACTAGGGATGTTCACTGGTCGGTCGGGCCGATTTTCGACAAATCAATATATATATATATACTACCTTACAATTGTAGAAGGATCTGAGCAGTGGTGCCGGGGGCAGCTTGGGTTGCGCTGGCCACCGATGCAAAAAGTTTGCTATGGCAATTGCAAGGTGGTTTGGCGGAAACGAGGGAGAGAGGACATAAGGGAGGGACGGGCGTGGGATAGGGAAACCCTAAAATAATTTTAATACATGTAAAATTTAAACTACATTGGTTGGTCGGTTTTGCGGCTTTTCCCCTGGCCGACCAACCGACTGACAGTTTGGGAATCTCCCAAACCGACCACCGACTGACCGATGTGGGTTTTGGTCGGGCAGATTGGTTATTTGGCCCCTTATGTACACCCCTAGTGAGTTCTAGTTGAATCTAGTCTGTACTTTCACATTGGCAAATTGTCTTATAATTTATTTGTCGAATGATGCATAGATAAAAATCCATGCTTTACTGATTAATGAAAATTTATGTGGTTTCAGGTTATTGATTACGATTTTTCTAGAGGCCGGATGATTATTGCACGGCAGACAGTTTTCCTTCCCAGTGATGAATTTCTGACCTTGTTCATTCTTATAGATATCTCTATATTGCAGATGAGTCTCTCCTCTTAGACACTGTAAAGTAAATTTTTGTTTTGCTTACACGATCCTTGGACATTGATTTTTTGTACTGACATATTTAATTTGTTATTCAATAAAGGATAGAATGAGTATGCTGATGAACCTTGTGAATGATACCATCGCAAAAGTCAGAAGAGTGATATTTAACTAAACAATAATTGCAAAAATTCATCCACCCCTTTCTCCAGAGAAAAAAGAAAAAGAAAAAGGGAGAATCAATTCCGAGAATTTGATTTTACGGTGGTCCACTCGATCCTTGATTGCAATATTATTTGAATATTTAGAACATGCATATTGTGAGCAGGCATTTTCTTTTCTTTTGCGTCTCCATCGGGACTAGTTTCAAGCTCCTTGGTGGAGTTTCCTCATAAATTTGTTTCATGTAAAGCACATAAATACTTGTCAAACTGATGACAAAACAATTCTTTAAAAGTATAAACACTAGCACTTGTAATTGGAGACAACGGTGATCTTTTTGCAAAGCTTTCAGATACTTGTGGCCGCTAGGACTAAGATTTGCTTCCAAACAATGATTCTATTCTTTGAGTAGTACTCTCTTACGACTTAAAGTCAGTTGACAGAATTTTCCAAGAAAAGTTTATGATCTTATTTACCATGTCCGGTATTAATTTGAGAACATTAATTGCAGCAGCTACTTTTAGTGGATTCGTTTTTTTAAGTTTTCTTACCATCGCAGGAGTTGATACGTGAAGTGGAACTCTTTCGCTGCTTGAAGGGCGTTTGCTTTTTTGCCTCTCTGGTATGCTTCTCTTCTTTTCAAACCCCAACCCCATGCTTTTCTTTGGTCACTGTTGGGGTTTTTTCTCTAACACTTCATTTTTTTTAGTCCAACAAAATATATGGGGTGGGGAGTAGGGGATTTGGACCTTCGACCTTTTTGGTCGACAATATATGCCTTAATGTTCAAGTTGGTCTTTGTTTAACACTTCGTTTGTGGGGCTTTGTATCGATAATCCACCCAAACCCTTAATTAATTGCAATAAATACCGTTAAATTATTGATTAATCTCTTGATTATGAGATCAACGATGGAGATGTCCAACATTTCTAATCAATATTTGCATATAGTGAAGGATTGGACATTAATCTAAGAAATCAATATTTTATTTTCACAAAACTATTGACGAAATATGAATGTAAATACAAATAATGATGTTTTGTTAGTTATTTATGAGTTTTCAATTTTATTTATTAATTAAAACACTTTTTTTTATTATTGATTTTGTGTAATTGCTATGATTTGTTTTTGATACATCTTCACATCGACATCTCTATGACGGGTCTGACGTGACTCGTCAATTAATTTTGGTCGAGAAGCAGAAATTTTCAAATGGTGGTAATCATGAAACAGGGGAACAAAAAAAAAAAAAAGAAAAGAAAAGAAAAAAGTGAAGGGCTTGGTCAAAATGACCAACGGCGGGCGGCCATGCGGAAGGACCTGTCCAATTTTGTTCAACCGAGATTGCATGTGCCATTTCTCTATTTACCAATGTTTGGAAGTGTTCATTTTTGGGCAACAAATTCAAAAGAGAGAAAAAAAAAGAAAGAGGCATGTTCATCTATTTGGTCGACTCAAAGCATGAAGAAAAGATATCATTCAAATCTCAACGTTTCCAAGTGGCATTCAAGGGACCAAATTTTAAGATGATGCACCAAAAAGTAGATTTCTTTGATATTTCTTCTTTGTTGCTGTGTCTCATCCAGTTCCTTGTGTAGTGTTTTGTTGCCTTAGATTTTAATGATTTCAATGTTGGAAGTTTTTTCTGTTTTTGTGGTTCATTTTTTGTCTTGTAAAACAATAAAGATACTACACAAGTTGGAACAAATTGTTGGTGAAATTTGAAGGCCTCCTCCGCTCATGGAACTCACATCTCGAGGTGTTAATTTTGGTCTAAGAGAGAAATGGTCTCTTATAGAAGCCCAAATGGCTACTCAGGCCTTCGGTTTGTTGGAGCCTCTCCTTTGCCTCGTTGAAGAAATTTTGTTTTTTCGTTTGTCTTTATTCTTGAGAAGAATGTCTTTGTTTATGTGTTTAGTTGTTTAGAATATGAACACTTTGCTTTCGTTGAGATTAAGAAAACAAGAAAACAAAAAACAAAAAGGCCACCTCCCCGAGGAAGAGTTGGTGGAAAGAAATTTTCTCCCTTTGTCCCTTTCCCCACATTTTCTTTGCAAGGGAATTCAATTTGTACTAGTCTTGTAGTATTTCATCTATTTGGAATTTTCCATGCAAGTTATGCCTTGTTTGTCATGGAAAAATATTGAGATTGGTGCATTGACTGTCGTTGTATTGCGATTGTAGAATCCTCATCAATCATACTTAGATTCATGTGGTCGATGTATTCTCAAAACTTGCATTTCTAAGTTGACAAATAGTTATGTGCGTCGAGGTGTTCTCAAAACTTGCATTTCTAGATTGACTAATAGTTATTTGCTTTACTTGATATACAAGGATCGTTAGAGTTATAGACTTGCATTTCTCCTTCAGACTCTATGTTTCACTTCTCTACTCAGCCAAGTGTTGTGTTTAATAAACAATAATTACATTTGAGATGTGTAGTAGTGTTCAAAGTTTACATGGTAAAATTGTTTTTATTAGTATAAGAGGCACCATTCAAGATCAATAGGAAGATAGGAAAATAGTCAAGTGTTTGACCTATTTCGTTTGTTTATCCCCAAGCTAAAACTTATAATATAATATAGAATACTAGTTAATTAATATGAAGAACTCGTTTCCCTTTCGAAGGTAAACAAGCCTATAATGAGTTAGGTTGCTTGACATGAATGGATAATACTTCCAAACGTAAACAAGCTTATGGTAAGTTAAGTTGCGTTATGTGATTCTTGCATAGAGTAGTGAGTATCGTGGGAGGACCTAACTCAACTTAATTGGATTTTTGGCATTTCAACTTGTGTAGGTGTAGATTGAGGCAACTTTCATGTTCATACGAGTTAATATACAATCGTGCTTTGTTTGTAATACAACCATTATGTAGTAGGGTTAAAGGGAAACCATTATGGAGTAGGGTTAAAGGGACACTGTGGCTTCTATCTCAACACAGTCATGTTATTGCTTTACCTACAAGAGCAAGGAAAAAAATTCTTAACCTAGTACTGTTCAAATGGTAAGGTTTCACCAATCATGTTTTACGTGTCCCACTCATAATAAAGTTAGGATTTGTATAGAAGTCGGGTCTTTTCAACAATTTTTCTGCAACAACTCTTCCTTCAAAGTGCTTTTTTTTTCACCACAAGGAATCTTTGCGACAACACTTAAAATTGTCAATTATTAAGAGGAGCAAACTCTATAGATAAATTCACCACCAAGATACACAAGTGGAAGTGTGTTTTCTTGACCAATTTTTTAGAAGCAAGATCTTGCAATAAACTTACCATTAATGGAGAAAATTTGCATTAAATACACAAGCACAAAACTAATTCTTCCATCTTGAACCAAAGCATTTAGCGTTTGAGAATTGCATCCTAGAAATTTTAATTAATCTTCTTGTGGAATTTTCAACCAATGTTGTTGAAGCCTTTTTGTAGGTCAAGTTTGATGACAATTCCTTTCCTTCTCCCTTTCTATTAATCTCACTAGCAATAAGGGAGACATGGTTAAGTCTTCCATAATGGCCTCTAACAATGATTTTGTACATGTAGGAAATAATGCTTATTAACTTGCAGTCATACATCAATTTAGTCTCCAATTATTATGAAATGGGATAAATGTCTCAGAAGGTGAAATTCATGATTTCATTCTTAAAAAAGTAAAAAAAAAATAAAAAGTTTATGAAGAGGATGTTTTAACCCTATAAAAATTAGGTTAATTAATGTCCTCCCTCGTTTTGGTGGCAATAATATGATGGGAGTGACTAGTGTTTTCATCCCCTCTCGAGGTCATTTTGACTTGCATCTTTGATGACAATAAATTTCTTCTCTAACGAAAATGGAAAGAATTAGGTAATTAAAATATATCATAAGAAAATAAAATTTTAATCGAAGAGAAGTAAATAAAGACTTAATCTTTGAATGATAATTTCATCCGAAGAGAGAAGGGTGCCTCTATTGAGCTTAGAACTTTGAAGATTAGAATTTTTTTTTTAAGCATATGTTGGAGCATAAGAATTTGTCAATGGGAGAGAGATGAAATATCTCCAAAGTTAGACCAATTGAATCCACGGGTACTTGGAGGGATATCATTAAGGAGATGAGATTATTGTATTGGATATATAATTTTTGTGTGGGGCCGATTTCTTTTAGACTATATAGAAATATTTGAATTCACCCCTAGAAAATATAAATCCCTAATTTCTTGTCAAAAAGAATACTCGTAAAAAGTTCGGAATCAGATTCCTGGTCAAATGATGAAAAAAAAAATTGATAGAGAGAGTTAAAAGAACTTTCCATCAAAAGAGTGTCTCTTGTAAATCCGATGACTTCTAAGGTAAACTAACCACTAATCGTATTAGAACTCTAAAGTGAAGCCAGAGTGAGCCTATCGATGTTACTAACATTATTGTCAAATAGAAAGAAAAAAAAAAGAATTCAAATTGGATTCTAGAACGAAACTACTAATATAGACTCTTTTCTTCTGCGAATTCAGACCTCTAACATTTTAAAGCGCCTTGAAGATTTTAAAATTAGAAATTCCAAAAAAATGAGGCCAACAAGTTTGGGATTCTCAAAGTAATTGGATTTACATATTTCCCTAACCTTTAATGTCATTTTCTTTGAAGGGCACTCTATTGGTCCCACCACTGCAAATGGATTAGATAGGTCTGCACATGGAGCAACCCATTAATTTAGGATTATCTATCTTTTTACATCCTTTTATGTCTGTAAATGGCTACCATATTGTTAGGAAAATAAATCTTTGTCCTCCTTTATCTTCTTTGAGTTGGGTGGGTATTGCAAAGGTTTCTTGGATTTTTAAAACACTGCTATTGTTGGTATTCGCTCAATCATCTCTAGTTTTGAAAGTGTATTGTTTCTATAGGTTCATCATCGACAAGGTTCATCATCGACAAGTTCCAAACAAGTTGCCTGACATTCAGGTATAATTATCCTTGATGTTCTCTATTTTTATTGTCATCTTGTGATGAACGATAAAGAATTCTTGAAGAGAAAACAAAATTGCATACCTTCTTCATGTTTTCCGTTTCAACCCTTTGTCGAAGATTTTCATAAACAAGTTTGTGTTTAATACTAGGTTAAAACTTTTATTTGATCTCACGTCGAATAATTTAATGATCTTTTCACAATATTTTTATTTATGTGTTAAGATACTAAAAGCGATTAACATCTAGACTTTTTATATGAAATTGAGTAATAATAACATCGAAGAGGACTTTTTATATGGTAACAATAACACAATAAATATGACTAAAAAAACACAATAAATAAAAACGATCTTACTCCATCCGCTGTCGATTATGTATTCTTTAGAGGTTTTAAAATGTTATCGTCATGGACATCAGTATTACATGTATTTGGATATTTCCCTTCAACTCCACGAAATTTTATTCGTTATTTTTCACTAATAGTTGAAGGGAATTCTTCGAAGAAAAATGGATTATGGGAGTGTATGACTTAAACTATTGATTGGGTCGTGTGGATATATGTCTCTTTATCTGCCACATTTGGGATTCACAACCAAATGTGTCTTTGTTCTAACTACCGTGAAAGCTTCGTACAGAGTAGGCTGGTTCGCTTGAAGAGAATCTTTTCCTCTTCATTAACTCGATTTATTATACTATCGAAGTGAAATAAGGTATCTAAAGAAAAACATAGGCTAGACTCTATTAATAACAAGTAAATCATTTGGATGTAAAAAGTATTAATATTGTCTAAACTATGGGTATGGTATCACCAAACACCTTAATTAGGTTAAGGTCTAAGGAAAAAAAATTGTGCGACCCATGGGGCACGGTTTTAATGGTCATTTTCCTTTTTTAAACTCAAATAAGAAATTAAAATAAACTTTTCTTTTCTTTTCTTTTACGCATCGTTACTTTTAAGGCGACAAGGGCGAAAATTTAGAGCTATGTGTTAACTTGTTTATTCTTACCCTATATTTTTTTTATGGAACAGTTGTCATATCAATGGTGGATGAGATTTGTCGAACATAGCTCAGCGGTAATTGACATATATCTCAAATCAAAAGATTGTGAGTTCGATCTCTCATCCCCACATGTTGTGCTAAAAAAAATGGTGAAGGAGATTTACTAAGTTTTGTGTCAAACACAACAAACAAAGATAATAATGATGTAAATATGGGGAGATAAAAGAGTCAAAATATATTAAAAATATTTTTTTATTTTTAACTATTTAGTCGAGCTTGTGCTAGTCACTATTGTTACATTATGATGTAAAAGGACCAAAATGGATATAACCATATAGAATTTCAAAGATACAATATAAGTTATGTGTGATATTTGTTGTCTCAATTTATTTGAAGGATAGTCCTAGAACTAGTTTTCAGTAAATTCGATAGTTTACACATGTTGGGAATGACAATGAAAAATGTGTATTCACACCAAGTAATAATTTTTATTATTGCTTATATTTTTAAAATTTTAATAGAAATTTTATTTATATTTTAATTAATTATTTAAACGAATTAATTATTTAATGTTTTAATTAATTCATTCATTATGTTTTGCAAAGTTTTAATTAATTAATTCACTTAAAACGTTTTTATTTTCTTTCTTTTTAAAACTACACCAATGGTTGTTCTTGAGTGGGGATGAAAAACTAAATGTGAGCATGCTCTTCGATTCCATTCGGCTCCAGCGAGTGTACACCTAAGTTTGAAATTGTGTTGACTTGAGGAACTACCGACGTACAAACGATTTAGCACCATGGTCGTGTCGAAATTGCTTTCAAGCAATGATTCATCCACGACCACAACAATTGTTTTCGTCTAAATTCTTGATTCTATTCCAACAACATATACATCGTATATTTACCTAGCATGATTTGGAAATGAAGCAGAGGAAGGACAGGACAAAAAGACACACTTCTCATAATTTTGTGGAAATTTTAGGATAAACTACATAGTTTTCAATGGGATTGGGACAGCTTCAACTCTCAAAATTTCAGAGATACTATACACTATACAGGTACATTCAAGATTTCACCAAAAATAGGGTCCACAAACGTACCTTGTTGATGCATGGATTTCGGTCCTCCGATTCTCCTCATCGCACACACCAAACTTGATTATTCGGGACTAATACCTGCAAAATCAAATCGAAATAAACCGGTGTGAATCTAGTTACACGGGCTCCGATGCCTAAGTTAGCAAGAGAATAATGTGAAAGTAGTCAACTTCAGATGCCCTTACCTCTAGGGTTGGACTGCTACTTATAGCCGTGAAGTAGTTCCAGAACCTTCCGTAGCTAACCCTAATTCACAGTTGTAGGGCCTGGGTGAAATCGTTGATCGCAGACCGGAGACTTGTTGGTTAGGCTGTGGGCCGAGCAAGGGTCTGGACCGAGCCCTTCATGGCCTAGCGGGCTCCCCTCTGATCGCGACCTGTAGCTTGACTATCGTCGATTCTCGTTGCATAACAATTGCCCATATTCCCGATGCTTTCGATCTCATTGGGAGTATAGCTTTTGTCGTACTTATCTTGTCATGTCAGGCTCGTGACCAAGGAGAATGCAAGTTCCTCGGGGTTCGCACCGGGAATGCTTCACGTCTAACGGTCAAGGACCGTGGTCCGAGCCGATTGAGTTGTCGAATCATTGTGAGGCCCGTGGTACCCTAGTCGTAGTGAGTTGTCTCATGTTCATGAGACACAAGAAAGTGCATGTCGATTTTCCCTCTTCTTGCAAGGCCTGAGGCAACCTTCCATGCAATTGTCACATCTACAGTAGACCCGTGACCTTGAGATTACGGGGTTTTGGGTACTGAGCCGAGAAGTCACGAGAGTGTTGCATACCGTGTCCAGAAGTCATGAGGGTGTTGGATACTGAGCCGAGCACGCCTCGATCCGTTGGGTAAATACCTTTGGACCGAGAACCGTGCTTTGAGCTAAGGGCTATTTAAACGCCTTCATCCTTCCCATTTCTTGTCAACCTCCCTACAAGGTATTCTTCTCTTTGCTTTGCTTTTTGTTATGTTTTCTCTTATGGCTAGCATTAATTTCGAGTGGCCCTCCTCAGATGATGGGTCATCGTCACACCCTTCGTCAGAATCTCAATCCTATCGTCCGTTTTGGGTGGATAACTCCACTCTTATGGCGAGGGACCTGCGTCGCTTGCGTTCGAAATACCGTATCCCGGATTCGGTTAGCCTTCGTCTTCCGAATCTGGGAGAGAGTATTGATGGTTCTTTCCAGGTGAAGTAGTATTTTATGCCTGATGTTCCAATTTGGAGTCCGCCTACCGTTGCCTCTTTTTCTTCAGAACTTTTTAGCTTTTAATCAAGTAGCTCCTTCCCAAATCGTCCCGAATGGGTGATCTACTTTGATCAGTTGCTTTATTTTGTGGTCGTAGCTCAGGGGCGAGCAGCCTCTAACCTCCGCGGACTTTATGTCGCTTTATTACCTCAAACACAGCCCCGAGGATAACTTTCATTTTTACGTTAGTTCTCGAAACCAAGTTCTTGTTATGGGTCCCTCCTTAGTGAAGCATTGGAAGAATGAATGGTTCTTTGTCAGTGGTGACTGGTTAGCCCGTGACGAGAGAGAGTTGTATTTTCCCGTCCCGACCGAGTGTAGGGAGTTGGGTAAGTAGCTTCCGAGCTCTATCGGGACTTTCGTAGAAATCGATTGTGATATTACTTTTCCTTGTTGGTAGTTTCCTGCAATTGTGAGCTTACTGTCGAGGCGTCCACTTTTTTTTATGATACTGTTATCCAGCTACCAGATATCGAGTGTTGGGGCCCAGATTTGGTTACGGAGCAAAACTTAGTGGATTTTGGCTTGGCTCTCCCACATAACCCTCTAGGTTTTTGTCGAAATCTTCTTTTCATTTTGCATGAACGTCGCTTTTTACCCTTATCTCTATTTGTAGAAATGTCGAGACAGAGTGCTTCCTTGTATGAAAGAGAACGCCGTCGAAACACCCGAGGTTTGGGGGCCGGCTCTAGTCGGGCTTCAGATATCGAAGTGACTGATTTGGCCTAGGAGGGACTCCCTTCACAACATGCTCGATCTCCATGCCTCCGACAGCTTTGAGGCGTTCCGCCCGACTTCATGGGACGTCTATCCCGTTCTCCCCTCGAGGTCATCCAGGGAGCTCCTCTAAAGCCTCAATCTTCCCTTTCTCTGGCCCGTATAATGCCGATGCTAATGGGACAACTTACCTAGAAAGAACATTTAGTCTTTGGCAGGGCCTCGATGACTCATCGAGCGGGTCAGATTTTGGCATGTCAAATCCTCAGCACAGCATCAGTACGTGCCTTAGCGATCTCCATCAGGTGAGCGCTTTGTAGTTTCAAGTATTTGTCATAGCATCTTCTCCTAATGTCGAATTCTATCCTTGGAAGATTTTCAATCGTTTGGTGGTATTCTCGGGTCGGGTTGCTGATGAAATTAACCACCTTTGCTGCCACTATGCCCCTCGGGAGGAGCTGGAACAGGCCATTTCTTCCTTGAACCAGGTTAACAGCCTTCTGGAGAGTACCCAACGTGAGTTGGAAACAGAGAAGAGAAAATCTCGAGACGAGCTGGCTAACCTGAAGGGGAGACTTGACGAGGCCAACGCTCGGCTCTCTAACTCTGAATTCTTGGCCGAGAATTCAAGAAAACTCAAGAGTACGTCAACCTGCAAAATTCTGCCATGGAGTGCGGCGTTTCTCTCTTCGCCAGGTTTCTACCCAGCACCCTGACATTGACTTTTCCTTCCTCCCGGAGCGTTTTAAAGTCGAGCGTGATGCTCCTGACGACATAGATGACGACGACTACGAGTAATAGGGTAGCTTGAGCGAGTTGCTTTACTGTGTTTAGCGTCCGGTTGACTTTTATGTGCTTTGTCACTACCTTCACTTGTATTTCTTTTTGGAATTATCAATTAACCCTCTTACCAATCAATTATTGGCTTACGGCTCTAACTCTGATGGAGTTTTGTTGCTTTCATTTCCATAGGTTTCTAACCTTTTGACCATAGCCAATGGTTTTATACCCGTTGTCGTCTTTGGCTTTTTACTCCATCTCATGTTTTAACCGTGCTAGATCAATCGACCCGCTTCTGGTTTGGCCGTGTTGAAATTGTTTAATTATTCTTTCCAAATATGTCGATTAAAGTAGATTCGTGTCCCATCGCACCTGGTCGGCACCGAGCGGTGGTCGGACCCGAGCCCTACTCAACCGAAAATAAGACCCATTGA